TCTGTCTGTTGGTCTGCATATCTATCAGTCTGTTAAAGCCCACTGCACTCACAGTCAAGCCCTTCCCCGAGGATAAACACACACACGCACACACACACAATCTCTGAAACACACTTGACGGGGATTGGTTCTCTATAGGTCAGCTTCCTTAGATCACAGCGAGTGATCAATGTGTTCACTAGACCAGCGGAGGTGGAAAGGGTAAGTAGGTACTCGACAACACAGAGAGAGATGACAGAGATGAAATGAGAGGGAGGAGTAGGGATGATGAGAGAGAAAGATGTGCTGTAAATACAAACTGTTCGGCTGCAAAAAATAGGTAGAACGAGCGGATGACAAAGGACGGTGGCGTGGAGAGGTATTCTGTGATGTGCAGTGAGGAGGTGCCGAGCGTCTCCTCGTCTGAGTCCTACCTTTGTCGGCTCTGGTGATGAGCAGGTCCTGAGGCTCGAGAACATGCATCTGCTTCACCACCATGGTTTTGTCAAACACCTGCACTGGAGGCAGAGCTTGCGTCTCTGAAACACAATGAATACATTTAAAAAAAAATCGGATAAATACCGGTTGAAATAAATGTAAAATAAATCCTCTGAGCAGGAAAAGAAGTATCGATTTCACTCTCACCAGCGTTGGATGAAGCTGGATCTGGGCCTGAAACATGGACAACATCATTATCATCATCATGTTAGCTGTTGGCCTTGGCATTCTGCTGAGCACAGTATTGAATGGATATGGATGGGTGGCTTTATTTTAGAGGACATGGAGCGATATTGATTAGGATGACCTCACCATCCAGCAGCATGACCCCCGCTGCGTCGGTGGCGACCAGCAGAGACTGACCCCAGGAGTCTGCGCTCACAATCTCATATGGGAACGTGCTGCAGAACGACTGGGACTCCCATGGCTGCGGCGAATATAGACACAGAGACATGTGAGGGTACAATTAGAAAATATTATCCAGCTGTTCTGACAGACAGATTTCCACAATGCTTTTTGGGTGGATGCAGTATGGGTCAGAGAAGAATCCAGTCAGATCTGGCATATTTTCATCAGTTTCACTTATTTCTCAAGGAAATAGAATGGCACTCAGAACAGTGCAAACCTCTGTCAAGGCCCACCAGCCGCCTTAAATTCAATCAAACTGCACACACTCATAGATATCAGTTCCCCAAATGTGTCAGATTTTTTTTATCAAGCTCCATGAATTATTTTCTGGGACATCAGTGAAAATGCCAAAATAAAAATCCCCATTCTGCAATATTCAAGTTCCGGGATCTGCTAGAAAAACTGAATTGGTTCTTCCTGATGCATACCACATCCTTCCACTATGTTTATATAAATCTGTCAGGTAGTTTTTGGATAATCTTGCTTATAAATAAAACTTAATGACTTGTTAAGATGAAGATTTTGGGCAGGGAAATGTCTCAAAGACCCACAATGACTTTTCACCTCTTTTCTGCACAGGCCTGTGGTAACAAGACTGGTCGGGGCATCTCCTCTCACAATGGTCTTCAGCTTCAGGGCCTATAGAGAGGAAACGGCATCAGGTTTAACACAAAATATAATAATATATGAAAATGTAAAGTCTAATACAAGTAGAGCCCTATATATAATTCCCACCAGTACAGTATCAAAAGAAAAATGACCGTTGTATCACACAGTATACGTCAACATATGTAATATTACTAGACTTTAAATATCGATGTGTAAGTGCATTTTATTGTTGTAGCTGCTTGAGGTGGACTTTTAGGGTAAGAAGATAAATCTGTGGTCCTAAGATGATTCATGAAGAAGGAAGGAAGAACCCAAATTCTGGTGCACAAATTAATTGTAATTATCTTTGCTTTCTCTTCTTCATCGATCATTTTACGACTTTTAACAATTATTTAAAAAAAGACTATTTGAGTAGTTGTTTAATATTGCATGCTTCTTTCCATTTCCTGCTGCTGGCTGACACAACAGGTACAACTTTATTCTGCAGGCATTCCCCAGCTACACCTATGTGACCTCAAATGAAATAATGTCACAGTTATTAAATAATGTCTGGACAAGCCTTTTAAATCTCTGACCCTGTGCAGGATTAATGAATGTGCGCTGCATGTGAATCATGCATATAAATGCATCACTCGGAGGACAGCAGTGAAATGAGCCCGCTGAATTATGCACCTTTTATTCCATCACAAATATCTAAACTGGTCATTAATGTTTGCTGGTGTTCATGCTTATTTGGGCCGTGACGAGTGTAACGGACAGCTCACTGAGGCGGAAAAGCAAAAATAAATAAAACAAAATCATTCAAATAGAAAATATTTTGCACAAATGTTCAATCAGCAAGCATCTGATCAGATTGACAAATTCCAATCCAAACTACGCTCTAAGCCCTTTCAATTTAAAAATCTGCATAAACAGGCAATCTGGAGATAAAGAAATCAATACCAGGACACAGCACAATGGCTTCACCGTGCTGTGTGTCTTCACCATCCTTCAGAAAACACAACAAATACATGTTCTAACTTCTCAGGCGTCCACGAGAACATGAAATCCCAGCGTGTAATGTGCTTCACACGACGAGCTAACAGTCAGTTTAGCTGAGGACAAACGCCTCGTCTCTACAAAACTGGATAATCAATGACTCGACACGTCTACCTTCCTTTGTTATCCGCACAAAGTGTTGACGCCTCGGCTTTGTGTTTACGAGCAGTGAGCGACGGAAACAAGAGGAAAACAAGGTAGAAAACACAAATGGTGACACAAAGAAGAACAAGGGTGGGTAAATGAAGTTGGCAGACAAATGAAAAAAGAGACAGAATTTCTTTGGAGGCAGACTCTGATGACATATATCCTTTATCTCCAAGCAGTAAGTGGGTGGTCGAGAAAGAAAATGTTCTTATACTGTGTACTTGTTTTTTCATTCCACATCCATCAGCCTTAAATTAGTTAAAAGATTACAGGCCACAGACATCCTCCCTGCAGGTGTTGGACGCTGCCGGTGTTGGACGCTGCCTGTTTTCATATTTTGTTCCTATATAATTATATATTTGTTACGTCATCGTCCAGAACAGAAGTTTAATGGTAATTACATCAGCTTGTTAACTATAACTGCACTGTGGCAGAGAGGCTTGTTCTTATCATCGTATCAATGTCGCCAGTTAAGTCAGCTGCCGGTCAGTAGGCAGAGCTGCTAAATGACTTTATCGCAGTTACAGATCTTTGTTTCTTCAGTTTCTTCATCTTAATCTCTGCATTGTGTTTATTATGATACCTGCTCAAATCTTACATCTTCAGAACAGAACCTGCATTACCCAATACTTAATAACCATCTATCAAAATTCATTATTAGACTGTGAGGACATTTCTATATTTTATACCAAGTCTTCTGTACCTTGCGCTCTAACATAAGTTCAGTCAGACAACTCACGTTCAAATGTTTATTGCAGAAGAAGTAGAACAGGTATGATTACACAGATATGATGGGAGTGACGAGCAAATACTTGTAACCCCCCGTCGGAGCCTACAGGTGGCTGCTGGGGTGGTGGAGGGGCTGAAGCCACTGGTAGCGATACTGCAGCAGCAGTGCGAGCAAAGGGGTGAATGGGAAATTTCTCTCTGCTTAAATAGGCCGCCTAATGAGGTGGGTGTGTATAATTGATGATTGGAGAGAATGAGGTATGTCACATGATGTCTGTCACATGATTGGAGCAGCGCAGCTCGAGTTGGCTGCCTGAACTAGCTCACAGGGTTTGCTTCATTATATAGAAACACTGGAATAAAAAAAGAAGTTGCTATATTATTGCTCACTATGGGGTTTCATGTGTCTTTTTTTCATTAGGTAACAATCAGTATTTGTTTTATATTTTCCTGCCCAGGGACCGCAGACGCAAATGAGCTAACTGATTTTTATCTTCAGTAACACTATTTTTATGTGGATAGTATACTGTGGAGAATTAACACAAATATTGCTTTCTTTGTTCTGGAATTGCCATTTCAATTTACATTAATGTTCCCAAGTTAAAACTATCCATGCTTCTGATTTTAAACAGACACAGATCCCTCTCAGTTTTTAGAATCCTATTTCTGTCTGCCTCACTTTCATTTTCCCAGGTAGATTTTCTTACTCTGATCTGTGTCCAGCCGCTGTAAAGCAGATGAGAGAGGATCTGAGTTGATAAAAGACTTGAAACAATCCTCTGGGTCACCTTCAGTTATTGCTGTGTGTGCAAAGCAACAACCTTAAGGAGCAGCAGTGAGCGGTCCAGCAAAGACATTACTTTTCTTATCTTGCCCTGGGTTTTCCCTCTCAGGCTACAGTCATACTGCTTCACCTTATTGCTGGAAGTTGTTGGGTCAATATGCTGCCAAATATGACACCACTCAGGGCTATCCATTATATTTTGTGGGTTAAAAAAAACAATATTGTCCTAAAGGGGTTAGAACCGAACATTTGCAAAAGATAAGATGGTAACATGCTCTTTGTATCATTGCTAAAGAAATATATATATATATATATATTTCTAATATATATATATATATATTTCTCATGAATAAAGGATGATAAAAAAAGTGGACAAAAGATTTACAGACAGAGGTTTACATTGATTCTCTGGTATTTGTTAAAAAATACAAGAAGCAGTTTAATTTGTTAATTCTGCAATTATTTAATAATCTGGTTATTGTGTCTCTATTAGCTTCATTGTGTTCATGTATAATAGAGAATGTAACGTAGCGATGAATTCATGTTGTCGATACATCTTTTTGAATGTGTCGCAGTTTCTTAGGTGATCGGATGTATTTGTGTGCTAATGTGTGTGAGCCCATACCCACCTTTGTCAGTGTGTATCCTAGTTTCAAGGTGTTAATGCATCTGTTCATCTCAGTGTTTCTGGCTGCTTACTGCAGAGCTCTGGTTGTTGGGTGTTCATGAGTGTGTGTGTGTGTGTGTGTGCTTGAGTAATTTTTTTTACCTGCCCTATCCTGACAAATTCAGCCTGCCTTGCCTCCTCCTTCTTGCGTGCTGATTTTGGAGACTCGGGCAGAACGTCGCTGAATGACCGCCGATTTAACATGTTCTGGGGAGAAAAAGGAACCTAAACGTGGAACCATCGACAGCCAACATGTTGCACACACGCACACACACACACAAAGACACACAGAGAGAAAAAGAAAGCAGAGAGGGGTCTTAGAGACTGACCCTGGCAGGGGGTAAAAACATCAGGAGTGAACCGCAGTGAGAATTGAGTTGTGTTAGGAGCAGCAACAGTGAAAGGAGGGAAAAACAAGATAAGTAAGAACAAGGCTGACGTGAGGAGGGAGAGCCCTGATGAGAAAGTCAGCATTGCAGTAGTATCCAGTCGGAATGGTGCAGTATGCAGAGGGCTGCAGTGGAATACAGCAGAACGCAGCTCAGCAGTGGCTACAGTCGTTGCCAGTAAGCGAAGTGACAAGTTGGAGATGGAGGAGAACTGCAGTGTGCGCTAGTGTACGTACACTTTAGAAAAAAAGTACATACATACGAGAATGAACAATAACTGACGTGGAGGGCAGGGACAAAGGTGTACCTTGTGCAGGTCAGGCATGAGGTCTTGGTAGAGCGAGCGGATCAACATATCGAGGGTCCGCTGACGCTTCTGGGCAAACGTTGGCGTCTCCAGTGTGGCTTTCTCTCCATTGATTACTGCCAGAGATGAAGAAGGATTAGTTTCAAAAAAAGATGCTGATTCATTGATCAGGTTGTGATGCCGTTTTCTTACATTTGACTAATAAAAAGTCCCTGAATTCTTGGTGATCAGTAAATACAGGAGGAGATGGGAGAGGGGGTCCAAACAGTGGAACGCTCTCCTCTGAGAAAATCTTCAACCTGTGATGGAGACAGTATGGTCATAGCAAATCCCTAAGTATGGTAGAGTACAGTTAAGTATAATTTTTAATCAAGAAAAACTATCAAAATGAATTAGGGGGCAGAATTAAAGACCTTATGAAATACCACAATGAATGAAACAAAGCAACTCACCTGTAACTGTCATTCTGGCTATTATACCTAACTAATGCAAAAATATCTGGAGGAAGAAGTAAAGGAAACATTGATCATATAGGAGACGCAGCAGCAGTCACATATGTCATCAGAGTGACAGGGCTGACGTGGTTTCTGTTCATTAGCTAAAGTCCCTCTTAGCTCACGCTGATGGTCACCACTTCATTTCTCTGACAGCCGTTGTCTGCGTGAAGGATACGGGTGAAGTGCGATCGGATCATCGATGGTTTGAAGGTTGACGATGCGTCATCCCCTTCCTGGAATACTATGGTGACAATGTCGTTTCCAATGTGCCTCTTTCTTTCCACCTGCCAGAGAGGACAGAGCAAAGATGAGGACAGCAAAAGCAACACAACCTCGGTACTCTGTGATTCATGTGACAGGGATTGTCTGTGTACGTGGATTTACTGATGTTGTAATCAGACAGGGGCAAAGGAACAAACCTTAAACAAAACAGTCATATATTTTCACCTAATAAAGTTGTTAAAGGGAACCAATTAGCACAATCATGTTTTTCCCCACCTGATGAATCAAGTGCTGGAGTTATACAGAACGTCTTTCACTTATAATGATACCATTGGAAACTGTAAATTGCTGTAAGTTATCGCTTCAAGAAAATGTTTTATGCAAATTGTGACAATCAGCGGTGCAAAGTGGCTTTTAAATATCATAACTACCTCCATAAACTGTTGGTAACACCACTGCCCCAGCTCCGACTGATAATTGTGTTGATAAGTGGAACAAATCAGTGGCTGAAACCATGGACTGTAAATAAAGATGGATGTCGGTCTCCACTTCCTCCCACTATCCAGATATAAACCTAAAATATCTCGGATACGCACGCTGCCATCTTGCATTTAGAGCCACAGTGTGCAGCACCGATTGGAGGATGGAGCCATTGTGTCGATGCTTGACCAATCGTGAGTCAGTCTCAGCTGTCAATAAACATCAGGCTGGTTTAGAACTACCTAAATGGCAGAAATGTATCTGATGTGCATTTTGATGCTTTAGTTTGGTCCATGTCCCAACAGCAACATCAAGCACATCTTTGTAAATCCTGTCTCACTGGTTTGTTTTTGCTATTTTATTATATTTTGTACATTTTTTGTACTCAATGATAATGCGAAATACATCTCAACAACAGCCATTCTGGTTGTCATGTTATGTAACATGGATATTCACGGTCCCCAATGGCTGAATCCAAACAATTTTTGAGATCTGTGCGACCTTTGGTTTTGCAATGTCATCAAACATTTTAAAAGACATATTCATGATTCCCAGAGGTTGAACCCTTTCCTTTTTAGATACTGTGAGCTGTTTTTTAGACACTTAGCTTAATCTGGTATGACTATAGAAACTGTTCTTTACATTCAGATGTTTTGAATTGTGCTGGATGCCATTAACAGTAGAACTCCACAACTTAAACTGAATTGACACTGCAGAGACAGTCAGGCGTGAACTACAGTCATCTTCTTTCATATGCCTGCAGTTCTTGTCACTCAGGTGGATGGTAGACAAGCGACAGACCAGCAGCCACACTTTAAATGCCTTAGAAGCACAGACTGTTCTGTATTATTGACAGCCAGAATGTCTTTTTATATCTTAGGGAGAAATCCACTTATCACTTACCATTTGTCAGATCTGGTGAGCACCAGGCCTTTTAAATCATACTCAATAATATTGACATTGCAGAACGGAGCTCTGCAGTACAGCAATGATCTTTCGTCCTTTCTTCTCTTTTCTCCCTAAAGCGAATACATTGACTGACATTGCACAAGATTTCCTGCCAGTGACCGATGCATCTAAAGTTTAAACAATTCCTCAAAAAAAAGAGCCAGCACTAACCCTAACCCAACGAATAATATGTAATAGTTGAGAAAAGTAAGGGATCACCAAGCCATGAGAACACACCCCCTGGGGATCATGAATGTATTTACAAGATTTCATGTGAAGTTGTCAATGAAAACCAACTTAACAAAGACTGAAATGAAAATAAAGAATTAAAACAATAAATGTGCCAATGGACAAAATAGCACAGCTCCACAGCCACCGACCTGCTGTTTGTTCTCTTTGGAGTAGGGTAACATGGTGGACACATGGAACATTAGCTCATGGCCCTGATACACTGTGTAGATGGACTTAATTCCTGTAGTGTCATCTGCAGGGACAAGGAAACAAGACGATGACAAAGAGTAAATTTTGGCATATTCAAATAACCTTTTTAAAACAAAAAATATTTTGAACTGAAGACGTTTATTCTTGTGATTCAGCAGATGTGCGCTCACTCACTCTTGGTGTCGAGCCCTCCGCGGTATCCTGCCCATCCCTGCAGCGTTATGTTGTCACCCAGCAGATTGAGAAACTTATCAAAGCTCTCGCTCCCAGTCTCTGAAACACACATGGGGATTTTGACGGAGCAGATATCTTCTGTATCTTGCTGTTTTTATTATGAAGTGATATTTAGCCATTTTGAAAAGGCATTTATTTTGTTTTTTTTCTGACTTGGAGAAGATTGAGAAGATTTAAAACATTGATAACACTCTTGTCTGTTTATTCAATATTCAGTTGGAGCTAGCAGCCACGCTAGTGTTTTTCCCAAGCATTTTCCCTAGTCTGTATGCTAAGCTAAAAATAACCATCTGCTTGCTGTAGCTTCATATTGGACATGGGTATGCAAGACTGGTATTAATCTCTTATCTACAGTAACTCTTGGCAAGAAAGACAAAAAAAACATTTCCCAAAATGTCAAAGTATGAGTATGAGGAGAGTTACCGTTGCTAAACATCTCGTCATCTGTGAGCTGTCCGTCTTTGGCATACAGGACACCAAATTTGAAGTTGACAGAACCCTAAAAAAATGTTGATTGGTTGAGAAAATGAAGTAATGAACAATTTATGAATTTCTTTTCACAAACAGAGGTGCAAATTACTAGCATTTCTCTAGAAATTAGGCTAAAGATAGATCTAGAACGTTAAAGACATAAAGACAGACTTTAATATACTGTATTTGTTATGCAATTACATTGGTGCCATAGTAAAGATATGTGTAATATTAGAAAGTAAAACTGTAGTTCCTGCAAATCTAAGACAACATTCTTTTCCCAGATAAAGACACAACAATGTGGGTATCTGTTATGATATGTAGGCGTGTGAAGATGACTGGGAACCTACACAAAAGAAAACCTGACAAAAGAAGTAGTTTCCGACCCCAATAAATGAAAATGATACTTAAAAACCCAACAACATTCAGCCTAACCCATTCAATCAGTGTCATTCCATACCTCCTGTTCCTCCAACACCAGCAGATCCTGAAGAAAGAAGACATTATAATTATTATCATAATTTCCACTGACTAGCACTGCAGGTAGAGATGACACAGCCTGAGGTTACTACATAGTTTAGGTGCTGCTGAGCAGTGTTAACATTTCACCAAGAGCAGGTTGATGCTCTCACCTTCTGGATCTCAGGGTTGAGGATCTCCCTGGGGCCTTTCTCAAACCTGTCCATGTTCATCGCACTGGGAATAAGGACAGAGGGAGGAGGAAGAGGAGGAGGAGAGAGGTAAGTAGTGATGAAAAAAGATAGCGGGTGTTTAGGGATTAATGGCAGAGCAATAGCCCAAAGGGGCTCACAGGAAGATGACACCTGACACAGGGGATTTCACATCCTGCTTGTACTCATTCAGAGCTTGAGCAGTAACGCTGCTCTGCCTCAGGATGTATAATCTCCACTCTCCTGTTTCATGCATCTTATTTCATCCTGTCATAGTCAAACTATTGTTGTAGATCTGACTGACCAGAAACATACATATGTGAGATAGTTCTTATCTATTAAAAGTTAGAAGATACTCAAATGCAAGGTTTTACACTTGCACCCTAATGATGCTACTTCATTGAAAATAATAAATGCACACACCTGTTAAAATATACTGAAAATAAACACCTAATAACATTATTAACAGTAAATATGTGCATGCTGTTTGTGGGTTTCTGCAGAAAACAGAAAAAAACTCCTTTATGAGAAGGGGCTGTGATTGGGCTTTTATAGAAATCAAATGTAACAACACTTCATACAAATATTAATGTATTAGTGCCATCATCATATAACAAACAAGATTAAGTCTTATATATTGTAAAGAGTGAAGTGTGTCATTGTGGAGCTCCAGGCTGCACTTCTCACCTGAGGATGGACTTGACCGATAGTGTTTTGGTCGGGCTGTACGGGAGGCTGATCTTCAGAGTCCCCTGACATAGGATGACATAGATCGGGGATTATGAACTGTTTGCACTGAGGGCTTCAACTGCCTTTTCTTTGAGGAGTAACTCGATCAAGACGTGTCTCAAAACAGACTTGTGAGGCTGTCAAAGTGGGATGTTAAAGGTTCTGCAGCAGATTCTCATTGCAATATAAAAACAATATCATGCGACCTGGATAATACCCTGAGGGATATTCAGAGCACACAACGTATTTTTCAATTAGCCAAACAAATGAAATCAGAGAAGTTCAAGTCTAACAAAGTTGTTCTGTTCAACAACAACAACATCCTGTACCGGTTCGAGTCTGACAGAAACAAGACAAATCAATGTGATCAGGCAGCGGAGGTGCAGCACCCTAATCAGGTTCCAGATGAGTCTGGTGACCAAAATTAGATCCGAGCTACGAAGCTGAGTCACCACACTACCAACACACAACAATGCACATGTACCTCCCTCACAAACACACCTACACACACAGTGACTCAAATTGGAGTAGCATAGTCCCTCAAGATGCAATTTTGCGCCTTCTTATATTTAGATCACAGAAAAAATACCACCTACGCTGTGACTGAAGATGCTAACATTCAAGATTAATCTGTGCCCCGAGAAAAAAAGTTTCAGTACCTGCCGTTCTGATACGGGAAGACCCTGAGAGGGAGTCGTGTAAAGTAATAACGTATACTGAATTTCATATGGTACTTTTACTTTACTTGTCAGACATTAGGTAAATGTGAGGAATATTGATGTGTGACATCACAAGGTATTGGTGTATTTTCTGTGTGTGTGTGCGTTGGGGGGGATTGTGTCATTAAAATAACAGTTTGAGGTACAGATAGGTACAATCATCCATTATTTCATTTAGAAATGAAATATCACGTTCTGTGAATCACTCACCATCTTTCTCCAGAGGATGGCTCTGTACTGAGGAACCCGCTGGTTGTTCTGGTCTGAGAGGACGACTGACAGATAGAAGGGATTTTTCTCTGCATCTGTACCCACATAGTTCTGGTGGACTGAAGGAGAAAGAAATAATATCATATTATTATGCAAAATTACAAATATACACTGGATATTTAACATGTAGATGATTTCTGGATGTTCATGTTTTCTCTAAATGACAAATTTATATCCTCCCAGGTATTTATCTCTACCTTTCATCCCCTTGCTGTCTTTCTCTTTTGTCATCCTTCCCACTCTTTCTTTATTTTCTGTCTTCCCTTTCATTCATCCCCCAACATCCAGTTCTCTCTGTGTGTGCGTGTGACACTGGCACAAAGAAAGATTGCCTGACGACACCACAGCAGATTCACACATTCATGCTTCTGCCTCTTTGGTTGACAGGGTTACGTTGTACGAAACAATGCCTGAACAGACCCGCCAACCCAATTAGACGCAGGACGTCTGCCTTCCTTACTCCTCTTCCTTTGTGTAATTCTTTCTTTTCCTCCAATGTTCCCTTAATTACACAATCTCACTTTCTTTTCTCCATTTGGTGTCCAGCTCTGTTTATTCGCCATTAGCTCTTTTTTATGCTGCAGGAAAGGAATGACTTTGCAAGGTTCACATGAGTGTCACTATAGTTCTTAGCCTAATCATTCCAATGTCAAATTATTGCATTACGTGGCTGTGAAGATTTCCAGTCATCCATCCATTGCATTGGATGCTTAATCAGACAGATATTCTCGTGTTAGAAAAACTGGCCTCGAGTTCACAACGTGTTGTGTCGTGCGTTGCAGTCGGCTCTGCTCAGGCTGCGAGACACAGATGGCTCAGCCGCAGTCCAACAGGTTGAGCCAAATTTCTGGAGACACAGCTCATTGTAAACTGCCCGTGCCTTACAGCATGATCACAACATGACCCCAGCTAAAGGGGCATTTCTTTTCTTTCTCTTGTCAGCTCGCAATTATCTGCATGGATCTCAGCTTCTGTCCTTTATCCCTGCCTGTCTGCTTCCTGATTTGAGTCATAGCAGGGAAACATGGACAGTCATTTTTTTGTTGCGCAACTTGCTGCACCACCTTCTCTGCAAGTCTGACACCAGGCAAGGTGTTAATGACAGCAGTGAAATGATGGAATGAGCATTTCTATGTTTTTAATGATCTCTGGCTTCTCTTAATGGCTCCTGCTGGTTTCAGAAGCTCACAGTCAGACCTTAAATGCGTTATCTGTTAGAGGCAAGCCTTTGCTACCTGTGTTGAGGCTGTGTGTCCTCCACGGGCGTCCTCCCTTGGTGGCGCGTGGGATTAGAGTGTATTTGAGACTCTCAGTGAGGATATGACTGGATACTAACAAGTATTGGCCTTGAATGAAGAGCGATGCGGCATGAGGACGAGGCTGACCTCATGAGATAAGGAGTGGACCGGGGGAATGCATTCAGCTGATGTTGTATTTCTGCAGCATCTGATGGGTGGCTTACACGCTCCCGCTCGACCTCAGCCCCTAAATTTCTCCCTCTATCTCACACTGACGCTGTGTGTGAGCATGTGCATTTTAAACAGAGCACTGTGGAGCAGGACTGACCTTTTCCCAGGAAGTATTTGAAGAACCATCTGGTGTGGTACTCTGGATTCTCCAGATGGACATCAGTTCTCCTCCAGGTTCCTGGAGTGTAGTCCGAAGTCTGACAAACACAAACACAGACACACACAATGTTGTCATCAGGATGGTCAGTCAGTCGCACAATGCAGCGGTACTGATCACGATACAGAGAAGGGAAGCAGACACACAGAGCACAGACACACCGAGCTATGGTCTGACTTTTTACAAGCTGTATTTTTGGAAAATAACCTTTTGTTAATCAGCCATCCTAGAAACTGCAGTTATGCAAGACAAAGGCATGGGATGGGATCACATTAAGATGCAGGGCTGCAATAAACATGAAACATATTTACAAAAAGAACAAGAAGTTCTGGAAACTGAACTGAGAACATGACACGGAGCTTGGTAAGCATGATGTTAGCAGGAGGCCGGTATTCAACATGACTTTTAAGGACATAAGGCAGGAAGCTGGCTGTCGGCCATGTTGTCACAAAGCTGTTAAATGTTGTCAGTCTCCAGTGTTAGGACGATGATGCAGCAGATGTTGTTGGTGGAAAATCTTTTAGTCTCAAAACTATTCGTCTTGCTTGTCTGTTTGTGTTTTTTTAATCTTACATAATCTAACATTACCATCAGTGACTCCTAGGTTCAGTTACTCAAGTATAACTTGTAATAATATTACCTAACTTTATGAGTAATGTAGCTGAATACCTTCCTACAGATTAAATTCCGTTTGTACGATAAGAAAAAAACACAATTGTCATAATTTTTAGTTTTTTGTCTATAAAATTAAATCAATTTACCAAATCCAATTTACACTTGAATTTGTTAAATCAATTTTAAATAATGGAACAAAAAAAGCTCATGCATCATTATCTGCATAAATCGGGGCTGCTCATCAGTTACTGGGCTAAGTGAATGGGTTGGGCATGTGTGCACAAAAGTGTATTATACTAAATTGTGTACCTCATCTGATGAGCCATTCTCCACCCTGAAGCGTCCTGCCCTCTGAATAGCCCCATCTGCGTCACTGGAAATCAGCTGAGAGGAGAGACAGAGAGACACACACAGACAGAGACATGTTTAAAATCGAGACAGATCATGTCTGTAATAAGCAGGTCATAAATACATTACAGATGGCTGTCATCACGGGCAGAAGAGGAACCATGGCAGACACATCACCTCGACGTGACAACAGTGGCCTGAGTCCTCTCCACAAACACGAGCAGCCTTCCCCTTTGTGGATTATCAACGTCTTGCCTTCTTCTTTAATCAACAATAATTAAGTCTGTGATGATTCGTCCAACCTCCTCAGCTCGAAAGACGCCTTTTTCATGTTCTTTTTATCTGCCACCCTCTACTTATCGCTCCAATTTTCTGTCTCCTGCTGACTCACCTCTTTCTTCTACTGGAGAGGAGGCATTACCAGAGTGAAATGGTTCCAGTTGTGATGTAAGGGAAACACAGGAGGCAGGGGTGGAGAACAGAATGTATACTGTGGAAAAACATACAACTTAAAGAAAGGCTTCTCTTATTGGCTTCCATGCTGAGAGTTTGATGAGAACTGAGTGCCAGCTATTTCCATTTGTGGGCTCCACAACACTCTATACATTACTCTGTGTCCATAGTGTTCCCTATAAAACAATAATAACCTCAACCAAGGAAGGTTTCTCCTGAGTCTGTTGGTTTATTTGTTAGCAGAGTTACGCAAAAAATTCCACAGTGATTTCCATCAACTTTGGTGGAGCGATGGGGCCTTGGCTTGGAAAGAAGCCATTGAATTGCAGATGTGGATTTATTGTTCACTTTTTGTTAATTTTTCAGGGGATAATGCAGAGATCTTGAGATTTCCCTGTTTAGCTGTATCATTTAGGTAATCCAGGATCACAGCTCAGAGATCGTGGTGGCATCTGATGGTGGATTATGATTCCAACTAGGCTACTATTACTGGATATACTTCTTTCATAGTATTTGTCATCACTGCTCTGCCTTCCATGCTCCCTTTTCATCTCTGTCAGACATTTTCTTTCATATAAGTACTTTAAACATTGACACAGCTCCTTATTTTATATGTTAGACACTAACGTCTTTTCTCATCAATGTTGTAAATATTTTGTTGACATGCTCTGCTACAGCCAACATCTATTGCACTTCTTTCCTTCCTGGGAGAGGCATCTACATTTTTTCCCACAGGTAAAATAGTATTTTTTTCTTATTTTAGTCATGGGTTCAGGCAATTGTGTTTT